GGCTGAGCTTGCTCCAGCGGGGTGAGGGGTGCTCACGCTGCCCTTTCCGTGGGTTGTGAGGACCGTACCTCCCAGGCGAGGGGAACGAAGAACCAGATGGGAGAGGGCTTTGCCCACTGCAGCTGCTTCAAGGGCCTGACACCCTTGACTGAGAGACCGTTCGTGACTTGTAACGGACATGTGGGCGGAGGGGCTCTGCTCCGTCCCTCAGGGCGAGCGGAGCCGAGGCTGGCACCGCGCCTGCGGCACAGCAGCACTCTCCGCGGGAGCCGCGACGGGGTATGCCGCTGCCCAGAGCTACAAGCAGAGAGGGACCCCTTCCTCCTATTTTTCTTACAAAAGTAAGTGCCAGGCTTACCTCACAAGTCAGGTAAAATCTCCGTCCGTTTAAATTGGATTAGTCTTAATAAACCCATACCGGAATGCCGGGATTTGCTAGAAGAAAACACCGTACACGTGTAAATCAATATATGGTGCGAACCGCCGAACTGGAACTCACAGCCAATTATCCCTGGGCCTTTACAGGTCTAACACCCACTCTAACTTCACACTTGGTCACTAAGTCATTTTTTTTCCAATGGATTAAAAAACCCTTGTCATATGACTGTATTGCATATGTTCTTTATTACAAGTGAATTAACCAGGAAGGAAATGACAATAAAATCATCTGTTCTTCCAGCTGGTAACTAAATAATTCATTGGAAATGGTTAATTTAGATCAGCCCTTGATATTAGCACATGGAGTTTATGTATTTATTTATTGCACTTGACTACAGCAATACCACAGAAGACCTCACGGGAAACCAGGGCACAGGGTCATTTACTTCTTACTTGGGTTCTCAATTGAAATAAGAAAAAACACCCAAGATCTCTAAGTTCTTCTATATTGATTTTAATGGCTACATCCACATACTTGAAGGATATTGCTAGATTAGGGACATAAGAGCTTCTAAAAGCAAAGTATTATCATATTCCTTTTGATTCTGTTTTTCTGTGATTCTATAACAAGAGCCCATTACTGAACTGGCTCAGACCTTTGACCCTGGTAGAATTTAAAGAATTTTAATATACTGATAATAAAGCAGAAACTAACAAAGTACAAGTAGAAAAATGTTAACCTAGGCTAGTTTCACAACGATGTCTTGAGCAAGATTGTTAAAAAACACACAGATGGGATTAATCTAAAATTATTCTCCAAGGCTTTTAGTGTTTTGCCATAGCTCCTTCCTCTGCAACATTCCAAAAACCAGAAAAAATTGCCTTTAGTTATTTTCCATACTCACTGAAATGTGGAATAAAATCCAACAAGTCCTTTGTTGATAATGCAAAGTTCTACTGGCACAGAACTTTGTGCTTTACCAAACGTGAGGTCTATATGCTCTGTGTGCTGATGCTGAAAAATGTAGGGTCTTACCACAAGGCAGCTTCAGGTCTGCAGGTTTTGCAGATTAGTTTCCATTAAAAAAAAAAGAAAAGGACAGCTACATGGAACCTGAATACTCCCTTAGGGGAAATTGTTTATTTGTTATACATACACCAGTCTCCGAGCAGAGAGGGCTACAAATGGCACAATAAAAATCTGCTTTCTAAAAGTCCCAACCTAAACATTACAGTTCAGGTCCCAAAAAGCATTTCAGTCCTAAAATTTCTTTTAGAAAGGAATTTAGACAGGTTCCTTTTGAAGGTTAGAGAGAAGATGGCAACAAGAACAATCACTTTCTGTTCCCCTCAGAACTTTCCAACTGAATATGTGATGTAAATGTACCAAAAATCAATTATGTCAACAGGAACTAATTTGCATATTAAGAAACAGAACATGGAAGACTGCACAGAGCTGAGCTCTCTGATATCCGTGCTTACAGGCATGCCTTAGCTCTGTGGCATCGCTTGCTACTTGTATGTGGCTGTGAGATCTGTGCCTGTGCAGCTCAGATTCCCTAGGAGTTCCCAGAGCAGGGCAGAGTGCTTCTGGAGTCACTCTGGGGGACAAGTTCCTTGCTGCATGGCCACGAGGACAGAAGTTACACAGACTGGTGTTTCTTGTAATTCTGCCAGTCCCATGCAACTGCTCACCCTTGTGTGTTTGCAGCAGCGTGAAATGAGGCAGAGGTATTTTGGTGGGACTCTGAAAGGCTGCAGGGAAAGTGTTTAAGGTGGGGTCAGGCAGTGAGGTTACTGGAAGGCCCCTGGGGATTGCAGAGGTGGGCCAGAGTACAGGACACAAAGGGTTTGAAGAAAATATACACAAGACAGATTTGAGAAACATGGCACATACTGCAACTGCTCCTCTCTTCTGCCCTCCAGTTCCTGGAGAAGAACTAGCACAGCATAATGGGATGCTATATTTATGCAGACAGAGTGCAAGAGAAAGCAAACTTTTATGGATCTCTTCCTGGTCCTACTTCAGTCTATTTTCTGCAGTGTTGCTCCGTGGTGGAAATAACTGGAGACAATAGTGATGAAAGTTTGTTGCTCTAGCGAGAAAGCTTGCTTACATATAGACTTGGCATCGGGTATATGGCTGAAATTACAGCTGGCTGTGGGATTTCCCAACTGAATTGGGGATACAGACGTAAATATGTGTCTGTAGTTTGCCTCCTGAATGTAGTAATGAAATAAGCAGAGTTTGGATTGAGCAGTGGGGGCTGATCCTGGCACACTTAGGTATCCTGTGCTGTAGCAATCTGGATGGCTTTCTCCTGGCTTAAGTCCCTAAGCTTCCTTCCTGTGAAACCAAGGCATGGAATGGGGACAAAATGTGGTGGGAGGGGTACTACAAACAGCTGGGAGTTATCCAGAGCAAAGAGCACACTGGATCTCCTTAATCCACCACTTTAAGCATAGGTTGTGTTAGCCTGAAAGCTTGTTCTTTATGTCCACAAGGAAACATCTGTGAACATCAGCACAAGAAGCGATTGCAAAGCAAAGGAGGAAATCCAGTGTTTACACTCTTGCACAAGCTGACACCTATTCCTTCCTATGGACCTGGTCCCCAGTGGGTACCGACAATCATTTCCACGGGCCCATAGGACTGCATAGAACTTTTAGCAGCTGCAGAATGGCTCTAGAAGGCTAAAGGCAAGAAGATGCAACCTTGAAAATAATTTGGAGGCCAGTATTGCATGCTTGTTATGTATGATCACAGCTTACTGTCACTTCACAACTTCTGCAGAGCTGAAAGCAAACATTTTCAGTTGGAGTGGATCCTGACTACTTTCAAACCAAGTAGTAGATTGTTTTGTCCAGAAAATATCCCTATAAGCAACATGGCCAGCTTTAAGGGGAGTTATTGTGTATGCTCTACTCATTCATTTCTAGGCCATTTGCAACTCTATTAAAGACAGAATGAACTCTAATACACATACACAGATTATGAAATAACAAGAAATATTCTTTATTCATACAGGATTAGTAGGGGGATCTGATTTTTCTCTTTCACTTATTTTTTTTTAAGCTCTTTGTGTGAAGTGGCTACTAAATTCCCCTTAGCATTTGCCCATGAAGAAAGTACAGCTTGCAGTGGGCAAAGACTTAGAGTCTTGACATGACATTCAATATATATTTAAATACAATTCTCTCTTCTTGATAATCATTTGGGTAATGATATGCCGTATGTCTAGCCTGCGTAATTTTTTTTTTCCCTGTGTGTAAAAACTTTGGCAGAAGTACTGCTTTCTGTTGCCTTATACTGGAAGTGCTAACAAAAGCTTAAACACACACAGAACTTGATTAAAGTCACAAATATTTACAAGGTAAATAATGAAAGAGAATACCATAGCAAGCTTTCCCAATAGCTAACAGAAAGTAAATACGTTTTTGTAACTTTAGAACAGGATGCAAACAAAAGAAAAAGTCAAGTTACAATTAAAAGTTAAGCTTCTATATCACACAAGAAAGAACCCCAGCACAGTTTGTACATTGTTCTTCATGTTTGCTGCCACTCCTTGTTCTCACACACCAGTTGTGTTGTATGGCTTGGTACAGATATGGAGAGATGTGGTTGTCCAAGCCCTGCAATTACTGGAACTCCCCAGCCTCCAAGAGACAGTCCCAGCACTTTTGCTCTCTGCAGGCTGCAAAAGGACTTGGGGGTGATGAGTGAAGTCAAGGCTTGAAGATGCCTCAGTCTCTGGTGCACAGTGTAGAAAGGAGTGTCTATGGCTAGAAATAAGTACACATGTGCTGACACTAGACCAGCACAGGAGCCTGAAGCCCCCAGAGGTACTTCCCCTCCTGCTTAGGATCCATTGATGGTTAATGCAATGACAGAACACACCACTTGTCTCTCAGTACATTTATCAGTTTCAGGGAATTCAAAATCAGCTTTCCTTTAAAATAATTAATTATAACCTCTGTGTCAGAAATAAGCAGATTATGATTACCCATGTTGCCTAAAAGACCTTACTGCCACGTACTGAGTCAAATGACTTACTGCAATAATTTCTTGTGCAAGCAGGAAAAAAGTAACTAGGCTGATAAACTCAGTTCAGGTAACTGGAAATCCTAAAGAAGGAAAAGAAATCCAGAGGAGAATTGCTAATTCTCTAAAGGAACCTGGACTTGGACACACATGACTTCATTGGCTCATGGTTTCACCCATGTGGTTTTGATCCTTCTTTGATCCCAAAAGTTCATGTCCCATGGTAAAATCATGATCTTGGAGGATGGCTGTTACCCTGGAGTTCCCTTGGTGTGGGGTAGGAATGCCTAGTGTGTGAGGAATGGGGGAAGGTGACTTTTGGGTTCCGTCTCTGGGTTCTGCAGTCCTCTATAGTCAGGTAATAAGCTCTGAAATTTGACATCTCTGACACACTTAAGGGAGGTACCTGAAGTCATGCATCAAGTCAGTATTGGAATGAAAAAATAAAAAAGCTCCTGAATCACAGTTCCATGATTTTCTACTTCAGTCTTTAGCAAAACTTTGAAACATGAAACTCACAGGACTAGAGAATAGTGCTACACTCCCACTTCTGTAAACAGATTAAGAAATTAAACTTCTTGTATAAATTGATATATCATAGTTAATAAAGCAACACAGAGCCAGGATGACTGTGAACTTATGTTCCGGGTTAGATCCAGCAAAGCCTTTCACCAAGCGTGTGCTTGAGAACAAGGAGTGTCTCCACTGGAGACAATGGAACTACCCACATGGCAAAAGCTAAGGATCTACTTAAGTGCTTTGCTTGATCCAAGCCCTAAGATCTAATCTGAAGGCTGCAGAAGTTAATGGCAATTTTCCAACTTTCCTCAGTAGGCTTTGAACCTATTTAAGCTAAAAATTATAAAAATTATATTTCCAATGGATATGAACTTTATCTGTGTGACTTATGTGCAAATATTTATCTGCATGATATATGTATGTTCTATGGAATCAAAAGTGAACTTTGCAAAATACTTGTTCTCCTATTGAATATTAACCTACCACGAGGACCCACCCTCTGGCTGTGCAGGATCTGAAAGGGAAAACTTTTTTGATGGAAAGTAAGAATATAGAATCATAGAATGGTTTGTGTTGGAAAGGACCTTAAAGATCATATAGTTCCAACCCCACTGCCATGGGCGGGGACACCTTCCACTAGACCAGGTTGCTCAAAGACCCATCCAGCCTGGCACTGAACACTTCCAGGGATGGGGCATCCACAACTTCTCTGGGCAACTTGTTCCAGTGTCTCACCACCCTCACTGTAAAGAATTTCTTCCTCATATCTAATCTAAACTTACCCTCTTTCAGTTTAGAATCATTACCCCCCAACCTATCACTACGCTCTCTGATAAAGTCCTCCCCATCTTTCCTGTAGGCCCCCTTTAAGTACTGGCAGGCTGCAATAAGATCTCCCCAGAGCTTTCTCTTCCCCAGGCTGGACAACCCCAACTCTCGCAGCCTGTCCTCACAGGAGAGGTGCTCCAGCCCCCGATCGTCTTTGTGGCCCTCTATGCTGGGAGCCCCAGAGCTGAACACTACTCCAGGTGGGATATCTCATGAGAGTGGAGTAGAGGAGGAGAATCACCTCCCTCAACCTGCTGGCCACACTTCTTTTGATGCAGCCCAGGATGCAATTGGCTTTCTGGGCTGCTAGTGCATATTGCAAGCTCATATTCAGTTTTTCATCCACAAATACCCCCAAGTCCTTCTCTGCAGGGCTGCTTTCAATACACTCATTGCCCAGCCTGTATCCATGTTTGGGATTGCTCCGACCCAGGTGCAGGACCTTACACTTGGCCTTGTTGAACTTCATGAGGTTTGCCTGCGCCCACCACTCTAGCCTGTGGAGGTCCCTCTGGATGGCATGCCTTCCATCTAGAGTATCTGGTGTGGTTGAACCTTGGTGTGGTTAAACACGAACCTTACATTTAAAAAGGAAGGAAAAGCATACTCCTTTTTATGTGGAACTGGATACATCAAAATTATGCATACTTAGATGAATAGCTGAAGGCAGCTACAAAGGGAGTAAAGTTGCAGGACGGTTCTAGAGGCATACCAAAGAATTCTTGCTAGGTCCTGTGTATACTTATTCATGCTTGGAGAATTTATTCTCATAAGAGCAACATTGCCTCTAAAACTATTAAAGGATTATGACTCTGCTGCTGCAGAGTCTACATCAAACCTGATACTCAGAAGTGGCCTCTCCTGACCACAACAGTGGCAAATCTAGTCTAGCAGGTTATAATGTGGTGAGTTTCTCCAAGAACATTATTCTAAACTCTTGATTATACTCTCGAGTTCATTAACAGTAATGCATTTAAATTAGTTTGTTCAAGGCAGTGCAAAAAATATTTATTTGCACGTAAAATGAATCTCTCTAGTGGCTTATCTTTAGCTGAGAGGGAATTTACTTAAACTACTATTACCAAACTACTATTTAAACCTATTGCTAGGTTTAAATCAACATAAAGTTTACTAAGCTTAAAATAAAAGAAAAGCATCTGCTAGGTTTTACATCAATTTAACTAGAAGATTTTTAAATAGCCTGGAAGTGAAACCAGAGGAATGAGACCTTTCTATGTCCAGCTCTAAAAACACACTCAACAATTGGCCTGGTAAAAATAACCTTCAGCTGCAAATTGCCAGTGGGTCATGAAGCAGGGCTGTGGGGACAGGCCAATGGTGAATGGCATCACCTTGCTTTCCATCACCCCAAATCAAACTGCCTTTTAGAAGGTCCTAGAAGAGTACTTCTAACCACTACAAAAATAATACCATAATAGCTGGACAGGATAACTTTTTCAGAGATTTCTCCAGGTGTCAACACTTCAGAGAAAACTCTTCCTGAGAAGCTGAAAGGGACCTGACGTGTTTAGCAGCATTCAGATGGTAAACTAGGAAAGGTCTAAGCATGAAATCCTTAGCAGCTGTCCTACCAACAAAGCCTTAAAAATGTTTCCTGCTTTTTGGTAGTCTTGCATTCAGAAAAGGCAGGTCTGCAACACTGTGTGTTTTCATAACCCAGCTATCAACTTCACAGGAATATTGAAAATGATCAGACATGACTGAGCTGATCACAAGGATGATACCCTTTGCACAGGAGAGCTTGTCAGGCAGCTTTGTCTCTCCTCATGCTACGTGACAACTGGTGAAAAGCAAATTGGTGCAGTACTATGGAAGAAACCATTCTTGAAAAAAGTGTATTAAAAAAGCAACTCACTGGAGATGCAGCCAGATCAAAGACTTTAGGAAGGGACCAAATTCTGTTAAAGCAAGATCTGCATGTCCTGAGGCAGGAGGTTCAAAGGCACTCAGAGGAGCATCAGCCCACCAGCAGACACCCAGCAGCGCAGCTGGCAAGGCTCCAGCATCTTTATCAAGAACTCATTGACAGAAGAAAAAGGTGTTCTGCCTAACAAGTGCTTTGAAAGCAAAACCAGTCTTGCTTTGAGCTCTCTATCAAAAACCACAAAAGGACTGGCATAAAGTTTCCTGTCAAGCCCAGGGTGACCTGGGGGTAGCAAAGCCTGGACATGGTAGGTGAAGGGAATGCTGTAAACCTGGTGCAAGCCACAGGTTGGTGCACGTTGTCTATATTTTTTCTGCACTTGTATGAAACCCTTATATCAAGTGATCTGGAGAAAATACAAAATCATTGCAGATAGAGTTTGCAAACAATGCTTAATGTGACAAATAATGACTAAGTCTGGTTGTCTTGACGGTGAAATAAATTGTGCTTACTTAATCCATGCTTTAGAGATATTTTTTTAATTTTGTAGGAACAGGAACTTTTTAAAACTTTGTAAAACATAACATCTTTATTAACAACAGTGCCCCTGAGAAGAATCTAGGGGTAGAAAGCAAATATTTTGTATCTAGAACAACATGGTGCTTAAGACAGCAGATGTGATCCCTAGGTGTATATACAGGAAAGGCATTATGTCCTTCATAGTATCTGGGATCATTTCCACAACACTTATAAGCTTTTATTCCTTGTTCAATACTCAGATTTGAAATGAGATGCTATCAGATTGGAGACTGTTCAGAAATGGGTTACAAGAATGAAAGGAAATCTGTGCTACACAACTGAAGAGCAAAAACACTGTATTCACCTGAGAGAAGTTAGTTATCAACTGATGTGACACTCTCTAAGCACAGACAAGAGGAAGATTTTGATGATAAAGTACAATTATCTAGTATGTCGGAAGCAAAGGATGAGAAAGGAACTTTATTGGATTTTCTTAATGACGTAAACATGGTTTTCATGAAATGAAAGTTTTAAAACATCTAGTGATTATACCAGAACAAACAAAAAAGTCAGGTGCATAGTCTGTAAAACTGAGTGCTTAGTAACTTTTAATGAATTATGTATTCCTTACTAAAGGATTATCAAACCTGCACAGTCTTCCACTTCATCATTTCCTCCAAGAATGTCATGGAATTATGTCATATGATTTTGCTCCTGCTGAGTTCTTTGAATTGAATACATCCAAACCCCAAATTAATTATTATTAGTATTCAGAAATACATAGTGCATAGGAGGAAATGAATGACAACTTTTCTCACCACCATTCCACAGTATTTACAACTCTGTTTTTAATTTACTCTAAAAAAATGAGCCCAAAATTCTTTAGCTTGTAGTACAGCCAAATTTTGTTGGATTTATTTGTCCAAAGTTTATAAATTTAATCTTACAATCATATGTCAAATTTCCTGTAGCTGGTATCTCCCACAGGACCAAGTTTCAAATTGCTTGCCAGCATCTGTAACAAAGAATTTCTCTTTGAAACATAAGCAGGGCCACAGCCTGTTGTTGCATTCTAAAAAGAGGTTGCAGGAGCGAACATTAAACATGAGCGTGCAAAGATCTGGCAAAAGCTCCCTCCCTAAGCTGTTAATACCTAGTTCCCTACTCTAAGCATATTCCAGCCCACTGATA